ATAATCATTGAGTTCTAACAAAATATTTAATTATTATCTTTATAAAATATTATATTATTAAACCAAAAATTACTTCATTATTAATCTTAAATTAAATTATAACAAAAAAGATTAAACTAAAGAAATTACACAAAAAATGAGAACTTTTAAATATTTAATTTGTACTAACATTGATACATTTTTTTCAAATTTACATTTCATTCAAAAATAAAATCAGTATTGTTTTCTTAAAAACACATAAAATCGTATTATAACATCGATAGAGACAAAAAATAAAATAAAACATTAAAATCGAGATGTATCTCGTTACATTACACAAATACCCTTTTGATCTATAATAAATTTGTAAACCAGAACTTCACGAAAATAATCTCTCTACCTATATAGCAGATGAAATATCTCCATTTATCATAATTTCCAATTCTACTGAATACGGGTTGGTTTTTATTTTATCATAAAGGTTTTCATATTCAAAAGTGAAAGGACTGAAATGGAATATATGTGAAACTTGAGGGTCAAATATGGTTTAGGGATGACATGTGCAAATGAATACCCAACACCGTCATTTGGCGTTCTTCTGAACGATAGCAATAGAACACTGGTTAGGGTTTTACGCTGATCCGAGCTTTGAGATATTGGCGGGCATCTGGTTAGGGTTTTAGAAGATTCATAAGATGAAGTCAGTGGTTGGAATGGTGGTGTCGAACAAAATGCAGAAATCGGTGGTGGTCGCCGTCGACAGGCTATTTCATAACAAACTCTACAATCGCTACGTCAAGCGCACCTCCAAGTTCATGGCACATGACGAACAAAATCAGTGCAATATTGGCGATCGGGTACGTTTTCTTCTTATTTCTTATGGATAAATCTTGTTCTGCAAATAGCCACTTATAGAATCCAAGTCCTCTTTGATACTGAAACTGTATTCAGAAAAGAAAAAAAGAAGTAAAAACCAGTCAAAAGGTGAAATTTGATGTTAATCGTTGCAAATTTTGATCAATCTGCTCCAATCCTGATAACATTCAACCTCAGAATTGGTACAATTATTTCTGTATTGGAATTTATATCAAATGTATAGTATAGCAACATACCATAAGCAGAAAATTGTATGTTTGAAACCTACATTTTGAAGCAGGAGCAGTGCTTGGTTTCATCTTTGATTGCAAAGTCCAAGTCTTTTCCCCAAACAGAGACTAAGGGCATGTTTGTTTGCCGTTAACGAGCTTAATGAGGATCGCAGCTAATTCGGTCAGCTATACATAATTGTCTGGTAGTGGCTTAATGATGTAGAAAGTGGCTTATTCAATAAGCTTCTTCATGGGAGTTTTATGCCTTAAGCGAAGTTTTTTTCCAAACCTTCCCCTCCCAACTAAAAGACGCCTCCAGACAGATTAATCCACCCGGACAGCTTTATCCATACAGGACTTAATGGAAAACCAACCAAACAACCCCTAAGTGTTATTTTGGAGTGATCCAATGGCTACCATGCACCCTGTTGTTGTTGGAATAGTTAATGCCTCAACTTTACTAGTGGCTAAGAAAGGTTTCACTAAAGAGGATACGAAAGGGACAGATAAACAGGAGGCAAGAAAAACCAAAGGTGTAGTACAGGAGGCTTAAGCAGTTAAGTGAGAAGAATACAAATAATCCTCCCCAAGTCCCCAACATAAATCATATCCAATGTTCATTATGTTCTCAATGCTTCCCGGAACTCAGAAGCAGGAGAATAATAAGTGTATAACACAGAAGCCTTAGCCGAGCACTCCTGTTCCTACAAGTACAATTATTTCTTTCATCAATAGTACCACACAACTGCAGTAGGGTAGCCTGGATTGGATATTTCTTTTTACCTTCTTGGTCTCAACTCTCAAACATGCAATGCTTAGATGAGTGAAGAGGAGTTAAGCAGAAAGAATGGAAATTTATACCTCTGAATTCTGATGCATAAGTACAGGAAATAGTATCGGTGGTCGTTTGACTCTTCATTGTTTCAATATAAATACCATTTTTGCTACGTGCCAGCCTCTCATAAGATTATATTGCATAAGAACACCATGCCAGAAGCAATTCTGTACTTGGAATTGAGATTTAGGAGTTGCATGACTAAGGGGATGTTTGGTTGGTTTTCCATTAAGTCTTGTATGGATAAAGTTGTTTGTGGATTAATCTGTCTGTATAGATTGGTAAGGTTTTTGTTCGGGAGGATTCTTTCATAGATGGAAGGAGCGTGTTTTTAATTGGGAGGGGTAGGTGGAGAGGACTTGATTTTCAGCATAAATCTGTCTGTTTATCATTGAGCTACTACCAAACAGTCTTGTATAGCTGACCGAATAAGCTGTGAGTCTATTCAGCTCATTAAGCTGCTAACAAGTAGGCCCTAACCTAAATGTCTTTGTGCGGACAGAGTTGAGGCTTGCTTGACGCATGAGATAGGATTCCATGCAAAGAGGGAGATACAAAATCCTTTCTGGTCCAGGGTCTATCTGATAGAGTCTGAAGAAAGCCAGTGAGGGTATAACTTGATTAAGAATTTACCTGTAATGCGGACCTTTGCGTCTTGTATAAACGATGGGGTTTCATTTAAAACAGCCATGTTTTCTTTTGATCACCTCCACCTTTGCTTTGTCTTCGTCCTGCAATATTGAATATAAACCAGGAAGATTGACTTTTAATGGGACATTACCACACAAGAATCATGCCAAAAGGATATTCTTTTATCTTTCCTCACTTGAGGTTTTACTAATGGCCATCAGAGGATGAGAAGATCCAAGATATATATTCATATATCCTAGAAAGGTAGTAGACTCTGTGATGTCCTTCCAGAGCTAAAGCGTAAATGCTATAAGTAAGACCTAGCTGCTTAGAGTACCCGATCTCTAGGACTTGTATTATAATTAGCTAATCTTCTATCATAGGAGGTTCTTATTTATCTTCTTTATTTTATATCTATCCCACCTGATTCCCATCAATAAACCAGGACTCCACATGATTTCTGCTCTTTTTTATGTTTTCAACAGTGTGGAAGAATTTTAAGTGTTTTTTGACTCATTATATTATAGAAAACGAAACAGTTTCTTTCAATTTACCCATTGCGTTTTTTATTTCCTGTCGGTGTCTTTTGCCATATTGGTGGTAGTCAGGTGGTTTTTTTTTGGGGGGGGGGGGGGGGTGGAGGGGTATGAAATGAAAGAGAAAATGAGAACTATTCTTTAGGTAGCCTTGAAGTTGCATATATACCATATGATTATATTACATGGATAGCTCTGAACTGTCTGTATGAACTTCTTTTTCCAGGTTAGATTGGATCCCTCAAGGCCATTGAGCAAGCGGAAGAACTGGGTTGTTGCAGAGATTCTGAAGAAAGCACGAATATATGCGGTGCCATCAGCTGCAGCTCCTGCTGGTTCAGCGACCAAGACAGCAGTAGCAGAGTCATCTTCATCTTAAGGTTTGAAGAAGGAAACATATACATATATATACATATATATTGCACGTGAAGCTCTTGTTGTGCATGTGTTTGGTACGCGGGACAGGACTGGACAAAAAGTTGTTCGTTAGACTGGGATAGGACAACACCGAGTGGGACAAAAATGCATTTTTTTGTCTCAATAAATAGGTGGAACAAAATTGAGGGAGATGGACGATTGCTAAATTACTAAACTACCCAAACAATTCTTTCTCCCACCTACCCACTCTCCGCCGTCCAGTTCAGTCGCGTCTGCTTACCAAACACATCCTTACTGAAGGTTGAAACTTTTGTGGGCGTGTCTTGATCATACCCTATAGAGTTAAAATACGCAGGGAAGGGAATGTTCAAATGAGGATCTTAAATATTTTTGAGAACTGTGAGAATCGCTATATGCATTGATGCTATACACTATGAATTTGAGTGGGTATATGCACCAATTCATATATACTTGAATATATAATACGTACATTTTGGTGACTTTATATGCATCAATGCATATATGATTCTTACGGTTCGCAAAATATTTATGGTTCTCGTTACAATTTGGTCTATATAAGAACTAAACCAAACCTGGATGCATTTTACCTTCTTATTTACTAATCTTGGTTCATATTTTTTTTCCGCTCATACTTTTCTTGCTTTTTTTTTCTGGAGGGGGGGGGGGTGTTTATGATAACGTCTTTATCCTTTTGGATAGAGGTTAGTTTGCATGCATCCCGCCCCGAGGCCCTACTCTCAAAAAGTGGGACATACTGGTTTTGGTAACGACTTGTTCCTTTTCCATACCAGGTGAAGACTAAACTTAAGAATGTCATTCGACCAAGTTCCTGTCGCCTGCTTATTAGCTCAACCACGAAGAGAACCATAGAAATAGTTTTGTTTATCTTTGATTATATTTGCATCTTCTTCGTGGATCTCTTTCTAGATCGTAATTTTCATATAAACTTATTTTGTGCCTGAGTTTTTGGTATTTTTTGACTTGTAAGATTAGTGCACGTTCTTGTGCAAATTGGAATTCTTCATGTTTGATTCACGAAGGAGGCGCTTTGAGCAAAGGTTGTCGGTGCATTCTTGGGGATCAAAAAGGATTTCTATCTCACTTACTGGGTAAGATTCTCAGTCCTTTGCGATGTTCATCTGGTAGGGTAAGTTAAGTGACACCTGGTGGATGCTTACTTTGTAAGTGTTTGGTTAACGACTTTTAAGATGAAGATTTTGAAAGTATGTTGCACGGAATAAGAATCGAACCAAAATACGTTGTATTTTCATGCAATATGCTATTTCTTGTTCCTTGTGTTTTGGTATCAGATTAGTATCACAATGTAGCAAGAGATGGTGATCGAGAACCATGGCCCTAAAGAGCACAATATATTCACAAGGACAGTTGTGACTCTAAACCGAGCCCAAGGAGGAACATTTCTTCTTTTGGAAATTGTAGGCTTTGTGTGCTCTCGACTAATCCCATCTGGCACTTAATATAACAATTAAGAAAATCCTACGAGACTCTGAAGATAACAATTAAGAAAATTCCCAATAAACTTGAGGAGACTCAAGCTGATGACTTATAAAAAGAAACCTCAACTACAAGACTGATGCCTGATTGGTTTGATTTTGGCTTCAAAGGTCAAAAGTACCTGGAGGTCCCAAGTTCAAATCCAAGAATGAATAAAAATCTCCTTGTGGCCATGGAGGTTCAAATGCGGTGACTCCAAGCTATTTGCAAAGCAGGTAGTCGCTCTGGGATTAGTCGGCTTGCATAGCGGGTTGGATATTCATGTTAATAAAAAAAAGAAACCTTAATATCTAGCTTTTATTTGTCAGTTGAATTGGCCATCAAGTTTCAACGAGACACCGTTTTGGTGTGTTATAAAGTGTTGCGTCTCCTCCTGTCTTTTGCATATCTTCTTGTACCAAAGAAAAATGTTTGTTGTGTATTATCTTGAGCCAAATGCACGAAATACTATACCTTTTTTTAAAAATATATGTCCACAGTGAAAAAAGCTTCCATTATATATTAATACAAGCAATATAACGTTCTTTAAATCACTTGTAAACAATATCGTTCTCTGACCACGAACAAGAGTTGATGAGGAAGCAAAAGATGGTCAATGGGTTGGACTCATTAGCAAAAACTGGGATCTTAGGGGGCGTTTCCAACCGACCCTGTTGACTCGGAGTATTCAGATTCCTCTGCTGCCATCTTCGCCTTTGGCTCCTTGTCATTTGATCTGGGGGAATCAACCTCGAAGAAGGGAGCCTAGGAGCGTAGTTTGGCTTGTGTTCCAAATTCAATGCTCAAATTCCAGCTTCAAGCGTTCTGCAGCTCATAATCATATTATGGAAAATGAGGCGTGGGAAAACCCAATTCTGTCCAATAACAACAAAAACCTCATTTTTCAGTCCTTCGGCCTTCGCAAACAAACAGTCCGGCCAACCCAAGTAATCCCCCATAACATTGGAATTTGATGGAATTGAGATGATCAATTTCGTTGACCAAATTCTACTCCAACGTTTGATTACCCATGGAATTAAATGGAATTCCAAAGATTCCATAATTTGAGGATTTCACCATTCGTTCCTAAAATTGATGGAATTGAAGCCATTTCATTCAAAAATGTGTAAATGACAAAAATACCCCCGTGACAACTGGTTTCTCTCATCTTAATAACCCTATCCGAATTTTGCTTCCATTCTCTCGACTGCTTCCCCGTTACATTTTTGCTTTTGATTTCTACTTCCAGATCTGCATACGATTTTTGTTCCCATTTGAGTTTGATTTCTGCTTATTGATGGAAAGTCCGATGAAATGGTGAAATCCTTAAATGAGGAAACATTATATAAATCAAGAACAAAAAGGAGTAGTAGAGACGATGAAATAGGAGAAGCAGGTTGGGGAAGGGGAATCCGCTGATGGAAAGTCGAAGTAGAAGACCGACAATCTGAAATCGAAACTTGATATCAAAACCCTTTGAACCATTGGGGGAGAAATCGATCTTCTGAAATCGAAGCATATTTTCTTTGTTCCTTTTCTTCCTGTCAATTGAAATCAAAGTAGAAGCAGATCTGATCATCGGTCGTTGTTCCTTTCCTCTTGTCACTTGAAAATGAAGCAGAATTAGTCACCAGTCATTCTTTTTCTTCCCGTCGTAATCGTAGGATTTTCATCTTGTGGCACAAGATACAGAAAAGGATAGACCAGTAAACAACATAGGTGGCACAAAGAAACGGTATTTTTGTTCTTTTTCATCGTTCCATTTCAATTCTGTTACAAACCAAATAGGCAGATTACCTTCCATTCCTGTCAACCAAACACTCGATCAAACCTGATGACATTCGATTCTAATTCCTTTGACAGACTTCATTCCTTCACAAATCATTCTGCAAACCAAACACCCCCTTTAGAGTATCCCTAATAGGTATGTTATCTTAAATAACACAGTTGCTGGAGATGCCCAGAATTAAAAATCAAAATCTTTTAAAAAAATACATTCTAGTCTAACAACAACTTCGATTTATAGATTACACCTTTGATTATATTATTAAAATAATTCATACATTTAATAAAACACAATTCCTAAACGTTCAATTTAAAAAGTTCTTACCGATAAGAATATAATAAAAAAATATTTTTCTCTCATGATAATCATTTTTGGAGATTTTTCTCCAAACACAAGAATTTCGCTCTCTCCCTCTTATTTTCACCATTCTCGAAAAAAACTTAGCAAAATCCATCGAAGCAAAAAACTTGTCCAAAATCCTCGTTTTCTCAATTTCAAAGAATCTGTTGGATATACTCAAACACAAATTTGTGTCACTCCATGGTAATAAGTCGTGGGTCGGACCGAGTTTGAAACAAATCCAAATGAAAGTAATCAGATATTACTACAACAAAATTGGTCTTTTTAAAACATCGACCAGACATCCTGATAGAATACTTAACAATATTTTATTTTTAGTAAGTGACTAAACACGTTCTATCAGCGAAGTTAGACAACCTAATAGAACACAAAAAATAAATCGTCATATTAACCAAAGACGGTTATACGTCCTAAAAGACCCATTTCATCATATTCAGATGGTTGCTACAACTAAATAATAAGATGATTCTAAAATGAACAATTCTTCAACACCAAAAAAAAACTGGTTCTATTCTTACCATTTTTGTAAAAATGCCGAAATTGGGTCTGAAACTTGCAGCGATTTCATCGTCATATATGTAATAGAACAAACAAATCCTCGGTCATCAAATAAGGGATACGGGTACGCGTTCTCAGATGTTTTCAGCAGGAGGTAACTCTTGACGTTTTGGTGGACTGCCTAGAACTCGTTCCATGTCAAAACGGACTTCAATGTTACGTATACTGTATCCTACCACCATTAGCCAATAAAGCAGCTTCGCCAGTTCTGGGGCGCTTGTTTCCGTCACACTTGTCTGCACAATCACCAACAAAATTTCAACACCTTGATATCGCTTAAAAATGGGTATACGAGTCCCACAGCCATCATGAGGGAGAAAAACCGAAGTGTCACAAAGACAGGTAGATGGTCCCTGGATTCAAACCTCAGACCTCACTTAGGCTGCGTTTGGTAGACGGGACAGAACAGACCAGGTTTTCAACGTTTGGTAAGACATAACAAAACAGGAAAGAACAGATAAAATGACTAATTTACCGCTAATGAATTGTTTATATCTTTTATATATTTCGAATAATTTATTTAATTTATTAAATTACAATAAAATAAATATTTTTATAACAAAATATATCATTAGAAAGTTTTCAGAGATAATTAAAAATGACACCAGAATAAAAAATTATGCAGTTTCCGATTTTTATTTTATACCTTTTCTATATTATTTTATTATTATTAATATTAACCAAATTTAGAAACCGTATAAAAATAATATTTCAAGGAAGGTAAAGTGAAAGTTTAAAAAGCACAAAATACAACAAATAAAATTTAAATAATGAATGAAATATAGAGGGAGGCGTATTTGATATTTTAGAAGAGAATTAGATTTCATTTTTAGGTTATATTGGTAAATTATAGGTCTGATCCATCTTGTTCCATGCGGTGGGGATGAAACACGCATGTTTCACATAAAAGTTCTGCCAGCATGGAACAGTGAACCATGTCATGTTCTGTCATGTCCAGTGTACCAAACGCACCCTTATTGATTTCCACCTCCTTACAGCCAGGGACAATTCAGTTAGATGCTTGGAATTGTGGTATTCCCCTCACCAACCACCACCACCACCATCCAAAAAAAGAACCCGAGGAAAGGAGGCAGCTTTGAGTTTAGAAGTACTTAAACTACAGCTTAACAAGACATTGAAAAAAAATGGACCACAATGAAAGCTAAACAACCAGTCCAAAGTCCAAACAAACCAAAACTTAAAGTAACAAGAGAGTAAACAGACCTTTCGTGAAGGCCCCGGCTTGTAAAACCAAAACTTAAAAGTAACAAGAGAGTGTGAGTGTGAGAGTGTGAGTGTCAGATTGTGCAATCATACAAAATAACAAAAAGTGCAATATCCATAAATACTAGTACAAGAAGAAACGCTAAAGTGTACATAAGAAAGGTCACATACGTGGATTGTTATTTATGAACCAAAATTAATATCAATAATACCTTGTAATGATTGTTAACAGGCAAACAGATATATTTGGATTTGAATATTATGCAAAAGAAAGTTTAAAACAAGAAAAGCATATCTATTATACTTTGGAACCAAACTAAACCACTTCCAACACTATCTTCTCAAATGGGACATAAACAGGCATCAAATAATCACTTCCAGGGAATAGATGAAAGCTTCCAAGTGGTGAATAGAAAGAAAAGAATAACATCACGCTAACCTTCATTTCACTAGGATCTGAAACAGCCAAGAGACGTTTTATGAATGTGTTCATTGCAACCACGACATCCTCCCCAGCACTACTTGTCAAATCCTGCATAATATTAGATAGATATAAAGTATTCAGAATGCAGAGATATCAAGCAGACAAGTCTTCTTACCTCACATCCATTTTTTTATTTTTCAGAGTAGGGAAAATGAAATTTTCAGATAATTAGCGTTGAGAGGTCATGAACTGATGGAAGAATCACATTCTTTGATCATTGATAAATTAATTTGAAGCCGTTGTAGAAGTGGGATTAGTACTTTATTAACCGATTAACTTCCTAACCTTAAGATTTTGGGGCTCAAGAGACTTGAGATAATCCAACAATTCATTTGATCCATTGGCAGATATTCTTTCTACTTGACGGTTGAGTTCCTCAACTTCTGCTTCAAGTAACTCGATGTACTTGATTGCATCTATTTTCTCTGGACCAGAAACATTATTCCACCTGATCACTTCCCCTGTCACCTTTTTCTGTGTCCCTGCTGCATAATCTGGTGCATCCTATATATTTTGCAAGAGTAAAACTTAATGATCAATACTACTAACATGATTTGTAGTCCAAAAGTGGGACAAAAACCTTTAAACTTTTAGAAAACGGAGGCCGGCTAATTAATGAAAAAAACTCACATATGCATCGGAAGACTAGAACATGTTTAATACGCGTTAGTCGACCTCCGTAGGACACTAGAAAGAAAAAGTTGGACCGTCTTGTACCTTAACTCAAATTCACTAGGGGACCACATCTTTAGAACAAAATATCATCTGAAAAGGTGAACTTCAAGCAATATCGTGTTTCTCTTTTTGTGGCGCCAAGTTTGTTGAAAACACTTGCATGGTCAATCTATGACACAGAATTACATAACGATAAATGATGCTTCTTGCATTAGAGCTATCCTCGTATAGCGCAACTGGTTTTCGTAATTTGTTCAAGCTCAATTCAACAACTGCCTTGTTGATTTTTATTTCATGATCTATATATTGGAGCAAACATGCACTTTGTGTATATCCTATTCTTCTTGTCTGTGTATTGTGATTTCTTTTGTCCTTGGTAAGTTCTCTGTGGTTTCCTTGAATCAATTTATCTCACAAAATCCCAAAAGCAAACAATAATATTCAGATACTCCCCGGGCATTTACCTGATGCAACATGCCAGTGGACCAAATACAAATTCTGATACAGGCAATCACATATTGGCTACCACAATAAGTTCAAAATATATTGCAAGTATGCTTGATGATACTCTCCTTAATACGATATTTTTGTGGTCCAACACTGTGTAGGCAACAATAAAAAAATGTAATTACATGATATTGCATAGCTCTATTAAAAAGAATTACCTTTCTATCGGCCCAAATAATGATAGATTCATTTAGGGTGCGTTTGGTGCGCAGACAGGATAGGACAGGACAGGACGGGACAGGACAGGACAGCTGTTCAGCGTTTGGTAAGACATAACAGGACAGGACAGAACTGGTTAAAATGACCAATTTACCCCCAGTGAGCTGTTTAGTGTTTTTTTTTCACTAAATAATCAATATAAATGTTCCAACTATATTCATCAATATGCATCTATTCTACATAAAACAGTAAGCATTTTTATTTGAAATGATAAATCAATTAAAGCTAAGCATTTAGCTGATTACATTGTTATGAGAAACAAATCAAACAGTAGGTCTTTCATAAAGGTAAAGAAAACTGTCATCCATATCCTTATTCATAGATACAGTTGATCAAGTGTTCTTATTTGTCGTCACCATATTGTTTACACATGATAACTCAATCTTTCTTAACAATGTGCGAGATTTCCTTATATTTGCTGCCTATTTGGATTCATGAGCCATTCAACAACCAGTGTTGGTATTAAATATTTGTGGGTCTGTTAGAACCAAACCAGATGGAAGCAACAATACAGAGGGTGCGTTTGGGTTCCTCAAACTAAGCAAACAAGCCAATTTAGGGTTCAAGCAATCGATTTTGGGTTCAAGCAAACAGCCGATTAGCAACAAAATCGAGATGAAGCAATCATGTACCTGAGTATGGAGAGAGGGATGTCGCCGTCGATGGGGAGGAGAAGCGATGGAGGCGGACTGTGTGTATGGAGAAGGGATGTCGCCGTCGAGAAGGGAACTCCCGTTGCCGTCAAGATGGAGAAGGAGAAGGTTAGGGGTGCGATGGAGTGGCGGACTGTGTGTATGGAGAAGGGATGTCGCCGTCGAGAAGGGAACTCCCGTCGCCGTCGAGATGGAGAAGGAGAAGGTTAGGGGTGCGATGGATGGAGGGTGTGATGTGGGGAAGAAAGGGGGAAGGGGTAGTGTGGTAAAAATGTTTGTGTTCCACTTAGTTCCAGGGGTAAAGAGAGAACAACCGTGTCCCACCTTTGTCCTAGTTAGTTCTACTTAGTTCCATATTAAGTCACACCAAACGTAGGACAAATGTGTTCTGTTCTGTCCTGTCCCACCTTGTCCAGCGCACCAAACACACCCTTAATTGGTAAAGGAAGAAATGCATCGCTGTGATTAATTTGTCTCCTACCCCTCACATATATTGTTCCGCAGTTACATGACAATTACTAAAAAGCCAGAAACTGAAAAAGCACCTTTCTCTCCTGTGATGTATCAGGAAGTGCAACTTGCTCCAAACTTTGTTGCAATTCCAACCTATATTGAGCATTCCTGAACATATACCCAGTCATCAAAACGCTGTACATGAGCTGCGCAAGATTCTCAGCAACCTGATTGCATGCCATAAGATTAAAAATAGAGCAAAGTACACAAGACTTTGATACTTAAACACTTAAACTAATATGTATTTCTATAATCAAGCAACCTGTGAAGAAAAAAGTTTCACCTTTGCCTAAATTCGTGAATTGTATATACTTACAGTAGTAACAGTCACTGCAAAAAACTGAGGGGGTAGTGTTCCGATCATGTTTGTTACAGTTTGGCGCATGGCATCTACAACCTAAAAGAAATAATATTACGAATGATGGTTCATTTAAAGAACACATAGAAATGCAATATTGGAAAGCATATTACCTGCTGGGGAGCTCTTTTAACAAACAACTCCATAAATTCTGGCTGCACATTTTTCACATACTCCAGTAGAATATCCCTCCTGCTTGTCTGCCAATTTTATTAATAGTCGAGGAAATCCATATTTAGCATCAGCATAAGCATGAAGAACATTCCATCAAAAAGTAGATTTTCTTATTAAATGAAATATAGTTATGGTTCTACTAGGTCCTTAATCATGATGTTCTATTCACAAAAGAGGAAGTCAAATCGGGGAAGGAAGAAGCAGCCCAAAAACATAGAAGCATAAACAAAGGAGGAGGAAGGGTTACATTGAGGGGCAATATAAATACAGTTCACCTCTTTGCTATATTTTGCTTGCTAATTTTTAATAAGGTAAGAAATAGACAGAGGACAGCCACGACTAAAAACCATCAGACAAGACATAATTCCCCACAACTAAGAAACACCCCATCCCTTTACTAGTTAATATCCATAGCTCCAAATATAAGTGCTTCTTAAGTAAGTCTAGAATGGATCTAAACTGAAGATACAACTCTAAGATCTTTTCAAGTACGAATTTAGTTTCCAAATGTAAAGACATTGTGTCCTTTCATAGTTCGATATTAACAAAATCTCCAGTTTCAATTATCTAATAAATGATCATCTCTGGCAATGGGACTTGTGATCTTACTGTTTTAGCCAATATACCCAGCTTCTGATCACATTTCATTGTCTTTGGCTGACTTGGTGATGGAGAAGTTTGGGGAAACTTTGTGATTATTTCACATGTCCTGTATGGGTTAAAGTAGGTACTTAGTAGTACTGCTAGTAAGTTATGCTTTACACTGATTTAACTACTCAGGATATAGGGTTACCTAAGTCAAGTAGCATGCCAGCGTCCATTGCATGCTTTACCAATCAACTTAGTAGCAGTCGATTTAGAAGGATTATGATCGATACCAACTGATTATGAACATGCAAGTTGTTAAGGAAACCGACTCTTTCAAATGAAAAACCTTGCTTATTATAATAATATCCTACTCATTTAAAGAGCGTAGGGGATGGTTATAAGTACAGATTACCGTCTCATGCTACCATGTCTTTAGAATGCATACCTAATTTATTGTGGCATGCCTAATTAGATTGCCCCATACCCAAGTAGCCTGTTAAGTATGCACCTAAAACATATCATCATAGTTTGATCCTAACAACATGTCATCATTCCTCAAACCTCACAAAAATATGTGGCATCAGAGATTAAGCTCTTTCAAGGAAACAAAGCAAGATGATGTTCCGTAAAACGCCAAAACATACTGGAAATTACTTACGGACAAGTCTTGCCACTAAAGCAAACCTATCATAACCTCCTCAAACCCACCCCTCCAGTTACTTGCACGAAAGCAAAGAAAAGAGATAATAATGCGCACCTGATATGTCTAGCATTTATAACATTTCACTCTTCACCAGCTTAGGAAGTTTCTTCACATGCTTATTCTCTCCATTTTGTTTTGTTAGTAAACTTTAGTTTCCGCAAACTAACAATTATTCAAAGAATCCATGTGACTTGTGAGTTCAAATGGGCTTCTTTCCCAATGGATTTCCTTTCTTACCCGAAAGCAGGTAGTGATTTTTCTTGGCTTTTCAAAGATATCGTTTTCCACAAACTTATTGTATACTTTGCCACTCTTACACAACAATTTGATCTATATCTGTAAGAAATCTCGGTCTCATTCTGAAAGAAATTTTGGTTCGTTTCTTTAACAAATTCATAACTTGGACTTAAAAAGCAACAAGTCAAAACTATTAACTATATTCAACACGAATAAAAACAGCATACAGTAATTACTTTCTATCAGCTAACAACAACAAGATATTCCAAAATCTGAACGAAATTATACAAAAGAACTTACCACGGAACCGTTAGGTTGTTGTGAATCACTACTATTGCTGTTTTTAGAAGAATCCTGTTGTTGAGATTCAGCTCTCCATCTTAATTTTCCTCTGCTAAACGTTCGCTTTCTAGGAAGATAAAGCGACGAAGAAGAACACAACCGTAGCTGATTACTTTGACATAATGCAAGAACAGACGATGATGAAGAAAAACGTGATGATAAAAATGGAGTTTTCAATGTCAGAAACGACATTTGCAAAGATTTTGGTATGAGATTGAAAAGTTCTTTCAGAAACAAAACCCTAAATACTGTCTACAACTCCATTAACGAGACTAATTCCCCAAGGTATGGAAGATAGAGGAGGAGGGTAGGGAAATGGAGGTACGGATTAGGTGTGGAGTAAAGCATGTGTTTTTTATGGGCCAAATTTTTTTACCCATGCTTTTAAAATCTAATTTAGAAATTAAATTAAATTGATTTTGAATTTATATTTTATGTTTGTCAGTTACTGAATGGTTTAGTACAGAATGATTAAGTGGTTATAATGATTAAGAGACTCTCATAATACAATGCAAAATAAAATATAATTGTTTGATAATTGTTTACATTGAAATTATGGTACTGAATGGTTAAAAGAGGTCCATGATATAAAATAGTTTTAGAACCATTAAGAGACAAACTTTTTTTTGCCAAACAAGATTCACCTCTTAACGATTCAGAGATTGCCTCTTAATGAAACTATTAAGAAGCAAACAAACAACCTCTAACTCCTAAAATTAGGGATGTATAAAGGTTTAATCATGATTGGATCGGTTCGGATACAAAATTTCAACATCTAAATTTGGATCAGTCAGTTTTTGAATGGTAGTTCATAATCTAATAAAACTGAATCGATTCAATTTAAGGACCAACCAATTACCATTCAGTTACCCATCCAACTATCATTCAAATAATAGTTATATGTAACTATTAATATTTTATGATATTGTGTTTTAGTTGATGTTTATATGTTTTAAATTTTAATAAATTAACAAAATATATGAATGTTAGCCACAAGGGTGGTCTTTGATTGGTTTGAGCTTGACTCCAAATGTCAAAAGTATCTAGATGTCTCAGGTTCAAATCTAATGAGGAATAAAAATCCTCTTGTGGCCACGGAAGTTCAAATGCGGTGACTCCGGGCTATCTGCAAAGCAGGTGGTCACCCTGGGATTAGTCGGTTCGCATTGCGGGTTGGATATCCAGGTTAATCATATATATATATATATATATATATGATTGGGTCCACGTGAGATCAAGGGTTTTTCATGAGACACGTAAGACCAATTTATGTTCATTGATCAACTTTATAAACTAATTATCTAAAGTTGCACGGTGGCAATTTTGTGATTATGAATATTTATATTGTATATCTAATCCAATGGTTGATAATTGGTCTTACGGGTCTCACATGATCCCAAGTCTATATATATATATATGTGTGTGTGTGTTTGTGTTTGGTTGAAATGATTAAAAGTTGTATCAAAATATTTGATGGATTCAATTTGATCCAATGGTAATACCCAATGGATGGAACCGATCAAATTCAATCATCCATTTGATTGGATGGGATGTCTAATGTTAATTGGATTTGATTGGATGACAAAATCCAACATCCATTTGATGATTGGATTGGATCAGATCCACCTAAATCCATTTTTCAACTGATGAACACACCTAACTAAGATCTTGAATTGTTTATATCAGTTCAAGGCTTCTTAGGCGACTATAGGGTTTATCTAGTTGTCAACTTCGAGGACTTATTAAATTAATCGAGATACATACAAACTGACATGGATGGATGTAGGTTCAAGGGGTAGGGGCCAATTGCCCCTAGCAGAACTCAAAAATATCATAAATTATTTTTTCAAAGTTTATCTCCCGTATTTATCTCAACTATTTTTCGTTGTTGCCCCTAACCTTCTTCTGAAGACTCACTTATATGGTCTTCAGGACTCATTCCCTGTTTTAAGGGTCGTAATTCTAAGCGATTTTAGTGTTTTTCGGATGACTTCGATATTTAACGTGGCGTTTTTTTGGGTGTGCTTATTAGTCTTGTCAAATTTTGCATTATTCACTACCGTTAATGGTGTATTACTAAAGGACTCCTGAAATCCGAATAACTTAAAACCATTTACCTCAACCCTCATTTAGTCTGGATGGTTAATTCGACTTTGGATTACTTCATTGTTTCAAAGTGTGCCTCGAATCACATAACTTCATGAATTTGTCATTACAAGTTGATCCAAACACTTAGGGGATGTTTGGATCATGGGAATTGAAAGAAACTAGAATGTCCAATCCTTTGACCAAATTCCAAATAGAGTGTTTGGTTCATGGAATAAGACTATGGAATCCTTTCAATTCCAGTTGATTTCTCCACGCACAGATTTTACAATTCCAGGGCAATATGCTAGGATTTCAATTCATTTCCTACAGATTCCTTTCCTAATCCAATTCCATGCAACCAAACGCAATCAGAAGGCATGATCAAATTCCATCAAATTTCATTCCATTCCTTCAAAGTCAAATTCATTTGATAAATTTCAATTCCATCGAATTTCATTCTACGAACCAAACACCCTCTTATGGTTATTAAAGAGTTAGTTAAAAATAAATGAAGTGGAGGGAAATTTACGTAAATAGTCATTTTACAAAATTACTTTCGAGAAAAGATCACGATGTAGCCGGGGTTTTTACAACTTTCTCTATTTTGCTTTAATCGATTCGCTATATTATTCAAGTTTAGATAATTCTCTAAAATTTGAAGTGAAGAGTGAGAAATGATTTTTTAATCTGCTCCTAATGATGACATTGAATTATTATTATTTTATAAAGTATATTTGGATAATAAAATTATAAAATATTTTAATAATATAATTGATGTTTAAATCCTTAAAATATATAATCTGTTTGAGTAGAATGTATTTTTTTTTAGAGATTTTAATTATTTATTTTAAATAAATGTATTGTAGAATTTGTTGGAGATGCTTTTATCATGGTTTTTTTAACTACCTTTTCATGTAACTGAGTTATAGCTCGTGTGCAAGTTATTTGTCAAATACAATAAAAACATGAGAATAAAACCTGATTAGAACAGAGGTATAAAGTTAAAAAGAAAGGTATTGAGTTCGAGTTCCATACAAATATGTTTTTCAGTAAATTAGTGGACATGTATACTGAAGACAAACTTTAACATGTTATAATTCTCCAAAAAAAGAATACATAAACGAGAGGGAAGTGTGAACCATCTACTAGAATTATTCACAGACGGTACGACCCGTTAGACTCGGTTCGCTCGACCCGTTAGAAAAGCGGACTTGGACAATCATTCTTGAAGAAATGGGCGGGCTCGGGTTGGACCACTAAAATTAATGGGGTGACTTGAGCAGTGGAAAAAAGAATCCGCACAAGCCTATCCGACCCGTTATATTATTATAGTTATTAATTATGCTGGAAATAAATTGGTTGACTAAGGATGATCTTCAAAAAAAAGAGTGATGGTGTATAACTACTCTTACACTCAAGTAAGTGTAAAGATGATGATGTTCTTAGGCCATATTTCCATGACCCCCCCCCCCCCCCCCCCACACACACACACATACATATATATATATATATATATATGACATTTATACAAGAAAGTTGCTCTTGCAATTACCTACAACATATGCTCCATTTTCTTTGTAAGCTTTAAAATCGTGACTAGCATCACGAGAAGACAAAAGATTCAGATTATTCGCATGCATATCGTGGAGGCATCAAGTCTTGTTTGTTGTTGTGATTCAAAGTCTCTCTGATTGTAAGGTATGATTTCAAAATACCTGATTTATTCCGGTTCGTATGGGCCCTTAGATGATTACGGTCTTATTTTCCATTGTGCTTGAGATCTCGTAACCCAACAAAAACATGATTCAATAAGGGAAGTTGTTGGTACAAAATGAAAGCATGAGATTCAAGAAATTGATTTGACTCAAAAAGCAAGTCGCTTTGAGACTTGAATAAATTGTTTATTGAGGGGTCATTTACTCAATTGCTTACCCGGTAAGCGCTTACTGATAGGAGTCAACACTATGATTTATTTTGATGCGCAAGATTTTAGTACATCAAAACATATCAAATGCAACAATTTACTGGGTAAACGCTTACCTGGATAAAAGTCGTCATTCTCACTTACCGCGTAAGACTCTCCATCATTTTCATTGCTCTTACCCAGTAAGATTCTTGGCCCTTCTCATGTTCACCCGATAAGAACATTTATCCGGTAAACACTCACCAAGTAAGTGTTTAGTAAATGGCCCCTTAGTGACCTCGTATCAACAATATTAAGATATATTTTCTCTACATTTTGGCTGTATAAATGCAATGGTTTAATATGTTATATGCATAACAGTTTTATAGGGCTTATATTTGGAATGGCACGGGCCGATTCCCGATCCGATATTTAATACAACACGTGTTTCATCTCATACACGATGTTTTATACAAAACATGCATATGAGTGGTCTTGTACGAAAACCACAAATACCCCAAATGTAAAACCGACTAAGAACGTGTATCTCATACTTGTTGAATCTAAAAGTAGTAAATATAACGACGTTCATATACACATTAAATTTAATTTGTATCTTCAGTTAGACAATTTGTATTACTCTTGAGTGTACGTTTTAGCATTTCAATATGAATACTTATAGCATGTTTTTAAGCTGAATATTAAATTCGTTTGGGTTTATCAGTCGTCACAACCTTTGTAAAACAGAGTGTAACACTTGTTTACTTAAAAAGTTAATCATACTGGTATTTAAAAAAAAAGTTACACTATTATTATTATTATTATTGATTAACATGGATATCCAACCGGCTATGCGAACCGATCAATCCCATGACGACCACCTGCTTTGTAGATAGCACGAAGTCATTGTATTTGAACCTCCACGACCACAAAGGGATTTTTATTTCTCTTTGGATTTGAACATGTGACCTCCTGATACTTTTGACCTTTGAAACCAAGCTCAAACCAATCAACACAACCTATACCAAATAAATTATTGGTTTTGACATAAGCTTTTTTAACCTGTTATTCAACTCGTCTAGACTGTTTTATAGTTTCGAGTATCTTATAGTAATCAGTAATCGGTACAATGATAAATCTGTTAAATACATAAATAAGATATAATAGAATAAAATAGATATTGTTTTAAGAAAAGGGGACATATATGATTAGAAATATACTTTGCTTGGATAAGTAGGTAGCTTATTTGGGAACCATCATTGTTTTTATGGCACTTTTTGTTATACCCTTTTCTTTTTCATTAAATGTCTTTTAATTATTTATTTCTATTAGCATCGTATATAAGTTGGGTTGATTGGGTTGAAGTCATTTGAACAACCTAACCCAATGTTAACGGTTTGAAAATTTTCAATCCAATTCAACTCAAGAAAAACTACAACCCAATCCAACCCAAACTATGCAGGTTGGTTGAGTTGAAACTTTGCTATATCATTTTACAATCTAGCTAAGTGTTTTTTTGTTTAAACGAAGTAAAATCAAAATGATAACATACAAAAAAGGAAGGTTGAAGGTTCATGTAAATAAAAAAATAAAATTACGGTTGATATTGTAATATACTGGATATCGTCAATTATAAATTGGTCTAATGTCTATATCTTAATCAAGTACTTAAAAATCATATTAAACGTACAGAAGTGCACCGGGGTTCTTGGGGTTGGGTTAGGTTCAAAAAATACTAATCCAGTTTCAATCCAATAGATGCAGGTTGGTCTAATTTTGTATCAACTATGTGTCCAATTAGTTTGGATTAAATTTTTCTGGGTGGGTTGGTCAATATTTTGAGCACCACTAATTTCTATTATCGGGTTAAGTAATAAAATTTATTGGTGAGATATATATGTCGGAGCTTAATCATTTGAGAACTTTATATATTATGATAATAATAACTATGAGAACTTTTATCTTAAGATATTGTTTCACATTTTTTTTTCTCATCAGTGCTAACATTTAATTTATTGATGAACATGTATTTGTTTTACAATGTATTTGTTTCATATGTATGTGGTTTATAACAGACTTTTGTTTCACAAACATGCTAAAAAAATTACGTTGTAAAACAAATAAATATGAAACAAATAAACACATTATAAAACAAATATATACTGATTGATATTTTAAATCTTACTCTTAGATGAAAAAAAAACATATGGAACATGATGCACTGGTTCACAAAGCTACCGTAATTTAAAGTGTTCTAATTTCGTGTGAAAAAGGGAAAGTTATATTGAGAAGCGTAAAAAAATATCTGAACTCTTTTTATTGTTTTTAATTTCATGTTCACTCATGAATTATGCTCTAAAAGAGAATTGATCCAGTGCATCTTGGTGCACCTCATTATATTGATATTTAATTAGGATTGATCGAACGATGGAAATCTATTCTTATGATTCTCATCATCACTTATCTTCTTAGCGAAACGCAACCTATATATTTTATATATATAATATGGGGTGGGTTCAAATAAAAACCACTCAATTTGTAAAAACCGTGAAAACCTCATTCAACCAATCATAATTTTCCATTTTGTTCATTTTTTTGTAATTATGAGAGGTTGATTAACCATTTTTATTGTGGAGGGTGTTGATCATGGATATTATCATCTTCATTATTTTAATTTTAGAGAAATACATGAAACAATTTCATTAAAATTTCATTAAGTAGTATATGAAACAATTTCATAACCACATATGAAACAACTTCATCAAAAAAAGTATTATATGCAACAATTTCACAAGACTAACAATTTCATGAAAAAATTTCATAAGATTAACGATGGATGAAAGTAGTTTTTACGGTTTTTACAAATTGGAGTGATTTTCATTTGATCGCTCCTCTATAAAATATAGGTATATATATATATATATATATATATAGAGAGAGAGAGAGAGAGAGAGAGACTTTGGATCATGTGAGATCAAAGTTTTTTCATGAGACCCGTAAGACCAATTCTCAACCCTTGAATTATATCTACAATCTAAACATTCATAATCACAAAATTGTCACGAGACTTCTCAGTAATCACAAAATTTTCACCGTGCAATTTTAGACCATTAGATCATTAGCTTATAAAGTTGATCAATGAACATAAATTAGTCTTACGAGTCTCACGAAAAATCTTTGGTCTCACGTGAACCCAATCCCTCCCCCTCTCTCTCTCTCTATATATATATATCGAATAATATTTTATTATAAAAAAGATACACCTAACATCCAGCACAATATTTTTGGTGAACTACTTTTTGAACTACTCTATTTAATATACCATAAAAACTTTATAATCTATTAAATATGATTAAAAATTGAACTATTAATAATAATAAATTGATTTCTTTCAACAAAGTGATTTATGAAGGCTTTTAATTGGTCCACTTGGATCAGTTATTTTAATTATTAATTGCATGAAAATATTTAAAATATCAAAACGAGTGAAAATAAAACATACTATTTTCACATACTTTGGGGTTGTTTATCTAAACAGTTACCCAATAAGTGCTTAATGATAAAATCCAACTCCATTACTTATTTATCGGGTAGGATATTAGTTTACCAAAACGACATCGTATGTAACAATTTACCCAGTAAGCGCTAACGATGGTAAAAGTCGTCGTCATCATTTACCGGGTATTATTCTCAGTCATTGTCTTCGCACTTACCAGGTAAAATTATTGATCTTTGTCATACTCACCTGGTAAGATAATGTGACATGGTAAACGCTTACTCGAGTAAGAATTCTGTAGACGGCCCATTTGTGTTGGTTCATACTGTGAAGATTATGTTTTAAAAGATATGTTCAAACGTCTATAGTTTGAAAAAGATCTATTTTAGTATCTAATGCGGATATGATGCAAGTAAAACATGATTTTGAAAGTATGATCTTCAGAATTAATAGACAAATTTCAACCTATAAATCATATTTATGTATATTAAATTATAAACCCTGAACCACAAAGATGGTGCCTGATTGGTTTGAGCTTGATTTCAAAGGTCAAAAGTACTAGTAGGTCCCAAGTTCAAATCAAATGAGGAATAAAAATCTCCTTGTGGCCACGGAGGTTCAATGCGATGACTCCGGGCTATCTGCAAAGCAGGTGGTCGCCCTGAGATTAGTCGGCTCACATAGCAAGTTGGATATCCAGGTTAAAAAAAAAAAATTATAAACCCTAAATGCAACATTTGAAAACATGTTAACGAAGTATGCTTTTTAGTGTAGCAGTGATTTTCGGTTTTCTCGAATGTAACATGTATTCATTTCTTTTAATTTTATGCTTTATTTTTATCAGTAATCGATTGATCTTATAACTGTTAACGATGTGAATATCATGGTGTCAAGTTATATTGTAACTCTTAATCATGTGAACAAATGTTATATCAAAATCAATCATTTCATATAGGCTCTGAAAACCTGTTTATATAGGGGCCGTTTACAAAACATTTATCTGATAAGCACTTATCAGTAAGAGTTACTACTCTAACTTATTTTACCAGATAAACTTGTAGTCCATCAAAAGAGTATCGTATGGAACAATTTATCCATTAACTGTCATCACCCTCACTTACTGGATAAAACTCTTCATTCTTATCATCATCCATACCAGGTAAGATTCCTGACCCTTCTCATATTAATCCGATAAAGTTAATCACCCGCTAAGCATTTACCGAATAAACATTTAATAAACGTCCCGTTAAAAAAATGAACGTGAAATGGAAAAAATATTCAACATTTATTATTTTAATTAAGAACAAATCATACAATATTATTTTATTTATTTAAAAATAAAAACAAAGTTTTAGATTTACTTTTAGAATTTACTATATATAAGTTTATTAAAAATAAT